GGCTGAGCACTGAGCAAAAAAAGCAACTATTTGAAGCGGCCTCTCAATTACTAGATTGGCAAAGCCCTAAAACAGATGAGAAATTGAAGGTATTCACGAATCGAAAACTGTATTTAGTACTTCAGAGTGAATCTGAAAGGTAACAGACCTCATCCGCCAGACCGAGCAGGACGGGATGAAAACCCATTTCAATACCATATCCGTAAAGGGCTGCCAATAGCCGAGATAGAGGTTGAGAGATGTTCACTCTCATTACTGACACGTCGTACTCGTAGACTTCTGACGTGGATCCCAGAGCTTGGAAAGACATGTTTTTGGTATGTTTGGTCCTACTGCCCTGCGTGCATGTGAAAGGTGCCACCCGGAAACAAAGATCTATAACGCCGACGCGTTTTTCAAAGGCCTAAGAGAAGCAGCAAATAAAATAAAACAACTATACATGAAAGTAGCTCATGGTTTTATGTTGACCTTAAACAGTCGGATTATGGAAGATGAGAAATTGTGAACCACGCTCACCTCCCGGGTCTCCTTGATGGCAGAGAGGAGGAGAGTGCGATCGGTGCTAGCAAGCAGGGCAGATGTCGAGACGAGAGTATAAAGACGGCCTAGATGGGCTTCTGCATCTTGCTTGAGGGTTTGCTCTATGGAATCCATATCCTTTGGCATCAAATACATCAAAGTAAGGTGACATTACTTGATTCAGACTAAGTACAAGGCGAATATGCAAGACTTCTGATTACAGTCACAAGAAATCCAAAAGCGGATGATACTCTATAGCTAGAAAGACAGACTTTCAGCTTTTCCTGCCTTTTCAGCAATTTTTATGAGAATATGAATCACGAAGTGGAAGTAGATCCTGTAAATTTTTTTTTTACTAATTAGAGCGCTAAAAGCACAGGCACCAACCTGCATGTAGGTGAGGATTTCGAGGAGGCAGCGGAAGTAGGCCAAAAAATTCTCCCTTGAGACCTCATCCCACCAGCCTTCGGGACAACTCTCGCTCTCCTCAGCCAGTGGTTTAACATGTAGTAAGCCATTAAGAATGGCGGAGACAGCATCGACAGACACCAAAGCGCATTCGAAGGGCATTAGGTCCAGCCTCAATTGAGGCTCGTACAACCAGACAAGTACTTTGGGTGGATATAAAGGTTGTTCAACCGGGCTGTTCTCATCAGTAAATGCGGCGACGCGTGTGTACTTGTGCGCTCGACACCAGGCCTCCCGATTCGCAATCCGAAGCGCCAGCAGGCGATTTTTCAGGACTGAGGGACAGAACTGGAATGTGCAATCAGGATTGCAAAGGTCGGCAAGACTCTCCTGAGAATTCTGAGTTGCATAGAAGCCAGGAAGTGGTATGGCGTTGGCGGCAAACGTCCGACATAGGCGGGAAATCAGACGTAGAGGGGCGTTATACTGAAGTAACAGTTGTCGGGCCTGGAAGGTGAACGAGGCAAGGATTGGTAGGGAGGATATATTCGGCGGTATGCATGTGGTAGGAAACTTCCAGAGACTATGCGTAGGAGATATCTAGCAACTACAAATCGACATCATACTTAATACAAATTAATGAGGATTATGTTCATAATAACGACGATGATGACTATTATTATGGTGGCAGTGATGAGCGTTGATGTCATAACGGTTAGGATTGAGGCTGGAGTGGACGTGAATCAAGTCCGTGAGTTAGGTTAGTGGTGATGGTTGTAGGGATGGTAGCGTACATGCTGACAATTATGTTGCTTTTACGGAGTATAGAGATCAAGAGACAAAGGCCAAAAGTGACAAGATGGCCGGTGCATACAAAAAACAAAGTGGGGAAAAATACGCACCAGTTTGGGATAAGTGAGAATCTGAATGGCGAGGCGCTGGATGCCGAGGATGTCGCTATATTCATCGTACGTGTTCAGTTGGGCTAACAGCTCAAAATGCTGTATCAAAGAAGGACAAAAAACGCCAAAACGTCAGTGTTTGAGGTAAGAACATCATCGTCTTAAGAAGAAGGCAGCAGAATCAGTATCCACTACAGGAGTCCTGAATATAGGCCAGAAAACTCATGGATTCATCCTTAAAGTTTTCAAGCTCCGTTTCGAACACCCAGGAGGATACATTTAAAGGAAAATGAAAAATATTTTTATTCGTTTGTAGGTTGAAGGGCTGATGCAAGAATTACTCGTTTGCGAGCTGAGCGCCAAAAGGATGTATATTTATCAGCAAACAAAGCTGACATGAGATGTTTAAATCGGGTGCCGGTTCGACTGAGGACGACTTCTGATTAGAGGTGACTTTAGTGACTTCTCGTTCGCTAATCTTATCTAAGTAATTTGATTCAGTAAGTATGGAGGAAACCGGCATAATTAAAAATGTGCAAACTTGAGTTTAGTGACCGAGCGCTTACTGTTCGCCTTTCTTAGGACTGGAATCTGAGTACTCGAGATGGAAATCCGGAGAGAAGTAAACTTTGTTTCCCACTCACACCTACATCAAACACGGCTTCCCTCCATCATCGGATGCCACCTGATGAAGACAGCGGACGTGGTTGTACATGTGACAGCTTCCAATTTAACAGTATTTCCGAGGCTCTGTTCGGAAAAGGGTGGAGGTCAGCGTACAAAATGACCGCATTGCAAGTAAACTGCGCTAAAGAAATTCGGTGAATCTAAGTGCACATTCTGGTCCCAGAGTAAAACTATGTACTATTTTGCTTGTACGCCGATCTTACCTCTCAGGATGTGCCCATAC